CCCGGCGCCGCTGCTCCTGCTCCGCGCTGAAGCGCTCCTGCGCGCTGGTCAGGTAGTAGCCGATCATCTCCTCGTGGAACTGGTGCCGGTGACTGGTGAGCAGCAGGCCGGCGAAGATGAACTTGCGCTCGCCCTGCATGGCGGCGCGCAGGATGTTGAGGCTCAGCTTCACGTCCGTGCTGTACTTCCAGGCGTCGCCCCTTGGCCCGCTGCCCTTGTCGGCCGGCGACGTTCCCGCCGCCTTGTCCGTGGGCGACGGCGTGGTCTTCTCCGACGGCGAGGTGCTAGCTGACGCCCCCGATTCCTCTTTACTGCCTTTGCGCGACTTGGACTTCTTCTCCTTGCTGCGTTCGGCGCTGTCGCCGTTCTTGCCGTTGGCAGAGTTGGCGCGACCCATCTTACCGTGCACCAGGCCGCCCAGCCCGCCCATGTTTTTCTTCAGCTTGATGCCCAGCGTCTTGCTGAAGCTGCCCAGCTTGTTGGCCACGGAGTCCGCGCGCGTCTTGTCCTTGTCCTTGCGCTGTCTCTCCTTCTCCTTGTCCTTACCGTTCTTGCCGTTATTGCTGTTGGAGTTGCTGCACACAGAGTCGCGGTCCGAGTCCAGCGATTCGGCCAGGGAGTGCACATCCTCCCCTGCCGAGGCAGTTGGAGACTCTGGCTGTGCAAGAGGAGCCTGTGGGGAGGCAAGGCAGGAAAGACAGGTGGTTATAGAAGAGCTGTCCCCGTGCAGGCCTCAGGAACACAAGTGGAGCTGAGACCAGGACACTGGTTTCTTTTTGAGGTCTCTGGGGGGGGGGTCTAGAGAGGGATGGAGGTGTGTATGGGATAGGCATCTTGCACAGTGTTGGCAGAATGATCTGGAAGGGGCCTCATGACTTCGGTGCCATCCTTTTAGGGAAGATGCACGAACTTTATCTCGGAATTCCTAGATACCTGGTAGTACAGAACCCGGAGTGGATGAGTGAAGGCAGAGTGCCCGCAACCCAACTGCTGTGGAGTTCCAGAGCCTCAGTGTATTTATAGAGAGACACCAGGTCCCCACTCTGGCCTCCCTCCCTGGCCAGGCTGTTGGCACCACTAGAAACAGGTCCCAGGTCTCTGGGTAATGGTAGAGGCCACCGGGTGAAGCAGCATCTCTCCCACACAGATGTTTCACGTACTCACTCTAAGCACGGGCTAGACACCTTGCCCAAATCCCATTCTTTGTCTGGGACCCATTATCCCTTTTACCCAGCCACGACAAGTTACTTCGGGGCTTCCCTTCTCACGAGTGCACATGTGGAAGGCTAAGCCGAGAAGGATGCTGGGAATGGCTTCCAGCGGGGAGGTGGGGTCCGGTGGGAAGACACCAGTGAAGGAATATCGTGGTGAATAACTTGGATGACACTACGGGGGTGGTGTCAGCCAGTGAGGAGGGCAAGACCATGGAGAATGTGGCTAGGCCAGTCTCTGGGGACAGGTGGCAAGCCCGAGAAGGCTGTGGGAGAAGGGCATGGTGGATAGGCCGCAGTTTCTCCCAAGAGGGGCCTTGCTGGTGAGGAGGGTCATTGGGAAGGCGGCATCCCTTATGTCAGCATCTGGGTGTGTCAGAAACTCGTGCGCAAGCCTGAACAGGCTTTTCTGGTCTCCAGAGGAGAGGGGAGAAGCTGTTGCTCCTCACTTTATTTTTGTCCCTCCCTCAAGCAGGTTCCAGAGGGATGACCCTCTGCGGCTAGGTCACTGAAGCAATGGCTGGCAGAACTGTACTACCCCCCTCCCCCGAGGCAGAAATCCCTCCTTCCACTTAGGTCTGGAAGGAGTGTGGGCTCGTAGGTTGGTTTGCCAGAGGCCCTAAAGGGTAGAAGGCCCAAGGTTGAAATGGGAAGGGAGCCCAGTAAGTGGAGCATAGCTTTGTACTGGGTAGGGAGGCCACCAAGGCCTGGCCGAGCACCCTGCTCCATAGTAGGCTGCCCTACTATGTGCCCAGCTGGAAGGCTCTGATGGATCTCGGGCTGCGGCCATTGCATACCACGTGGGTGCTAGAGAGAGCATCATCCTGGGGCACAGTGGCATCTTCCAGCATGGGAGAGGCAGGATTTGGACCGCCACTGACTTGAGGACGCGGCGAATCAGAGCCACGTGGGGGCGCCCTACTCGGATGATGCGCAGGTGAAACGGAAGTGAGCACTCAAAGAGGAGTGAGGAAGGCACCATTCAGCCCGGTCTCCTTTCAGTACTTAGAGCCCGCTGGATGCTTAAGTAAACGGATGTCAGGGAGGACCAATTATTTACAAGCAATTTTCACAAATCCCTTTCCCTGGGAGTTCCCTCCAGAGATTATGAAAACATCAGTCACACACTTAAAACGAATCTCTCAGCATCTGCAAGCAGGGGCAGCCCAACAGTTCCCCTCGGGCAGGCGGCCCCCCGCGAGGGACGGGTGGGCGGCTCTTTCTGCCTTCTGCCAGCTCCACCTGCGGCCACCTCCGCCTCGGGGAGGGGAGGGCGTTGCGCGGAGGGCTCGTGCTGTCGGTTCCCCAGCTTTTCTAAGGATCCACACACAGTTATAATTAATTCCGCTCTGCCGCGGCACATCTTGTTCCGATCTCAGCAGAGATAGTTTTGTGTTATGACTTGCCTACGGTTTGTTTGGTGAGTGGGCGTGTTATTCCTCTCCTGCTGTGCAAAATAAGAGGGGGGAAACCTAACTGGGGTGCACACTTGCGAGTACACACACACACACACACACACACACTCGCACCAACAGGTCCAGTTTGGACTGGGAACCAGGGTGGCTGGGCGGCGTCCCGGGGCATGAGGAGGTGGAGCCTCTGGGCGGCACTTCTGCGGGTGGCCGCCTATGGACATTCGGGAGGGAGGTGCATCATATCCCGCACCGCGCAGAGCGGCCACCCTACCCTCCACCCACCCCCGGTCACAGAGCGGCTACCCTACTCTCCACCCCACCCCCAGTCACAGGGTTGGGGTCCCGTGCACGGGAAGCTCACCCGGGTCTCGGAGGGGATGCGGATCCACGTCACATTCATGTAGCTGTGTAGAAGGTTCAGCTTGGCTTCTAGGGATAGGATGAGGCTGACAAGAGAACACCGAGTGAAAAAAGCCCCGGAAGAGGAACGAGCTCATTCGTCTGCGCCGGCAATCCTCTCTCTGCCCTCTAGCCCTCCACCCCCACCCCCACCAGGAGCCCCACCACGGCTCTTCCACGGGGCGGGTCTTACTGGGCTAGCCGGGCGTTGTCGTTGTCGTCTTTCCCCCACTCCCAGTCCTTTCCCGGGTCCACCGCAAAGTGCAGGGGCAGCAGCTTGTGCTCCGAATCCGTCAAGGGGATGACGGCTGAAACAGGAGAGAGAGAAAGGCACCGTGGCAGGCAGCTCGCCAGCCTGCCAGGAGGCTGGGAGCCTCAGTAGAGCTCGGAGCTCTGTAAGGGAAACCCAAGGCTAGCTGTCCCGGCGAAGGGACAGAAGGTAGACACAGAACTTCCACACCATAGGTTTCAAAACCGACCACACTAACAGTTTCCCATTATGTAGATGAAGAGCAGGTGGAGGCATCGCCTGGACTGTCTAGCTCTCTTCCTGTTCGAGGGCAGGCCCCCCTCTGCGTGTCAGGATGATAAGAAGCCATGGCTGCTTCTGTTGTTTCCGAGGAAAGACCCAGGCCGGCGAGGTGTACCGGAGGAGGCCGCTTGGCCAGTGGCCTGCTCCGCACCTTGCCCCCATTTCATCCAGGGAAGGGCAGAGTTTGTGCGCTGAGCTCTACAGCAGCAAGACTGGGGGCGGGGTGGGGGCTGCAGAGACCCCGCGCCTGCCCACGGGGAGCTCACCTGCGCAGGACACAGAAGCAGGCTGTCCTACACACAGCATCCGGCTGTTTAAAAGGGGAGTGGAGGAGGGCCTTCTGCGGAGGTGGTGATTAGGTGGGGATCTGGCCTGCTACTGCTCAGGGGAGTCGGTTCCCCACAAAGCATATGGACAGAAGCACACCAGCTTCAGAGATCCGAGGGGCTGAGGGTGGGTAGCTGCAGGTGTACTGAGATCTGAGACGAGTTCCCAGGGGATCCTGGGTACCCAGAAAATGGACTCTGCCTTCTCCTGAGGGTGTCACCAGGAATAATGAACAGGAAGAAGTGGGGAGGTGGTTTCCCAATCCCACCTTCCAAGTGAGTACCAGTCTGCTTAGTGTGACTCCATGTTGACTGCCCCACCCCTCTGGAGTCTCAGCACAGCGGAGAGGCCCAGCCCAGGGCCTTGGGCAGCTGCTTTGTTCCTTTGCTTGCCATAGCCCATGATTCATACCAGCGGTGCCAGGGCAAGAACAAAAACACAAACAAAACAGAAAATCCAGGAGCCAATGCTGTCAAGTTTGAGAAACTAGATATGACTCAATGCTGCCCTCTAGTGTTGCTAAGGAGAGTGTGAGTGCCATCCCCCCCCCCCCCATCTCTACCTTAAACAAACGCAAGGCAAGGCAGTTTTGCTGATGATTGGCCAGCTCAGGGGTTCTCACTGTGTGTGGCCAGGGATAGAGGGTGCAGGCAGGGTCTGGTGGGGGAGGGGGAGGTGGCATCTCAGCTTCTGCTTTGATGTGGCCTCCTTTCCCAGGGCAGAGCCCCAAAGTGGGCTTCTGGGCTGGCTCAGGAGCAGGTCTCCCTTGGGTGATGCCCATAGATCAGCACACACACACACTGAGGCCTTGGCCTGGCTTCCCACCAGTGTGTGGGGGCAGCAGAGGTCCTCCTTACCAACACTGCTCCCCAGACTCCTAGGGCTCTGCACTCCTGCATGCAGAGGGCCAGCCAACCCAAGGGTCTGAACGAGGATGGAGGACTACATTGTAAATAGGCATCCCGTTGGATCTTGAAATCAAGGAGTTCTGGAAAAGACTTCTCTAGACAGCAATAATCTACCAGAATCAGTTCCTGCGGGCATAATTTGGGCGTTCTGGGTTTAGTTGCCTACCCCTCCACGGGGCAGAGTTGGCTGGAGAAACATCTGGCCGCTGTGGCTACATTTTCCATCCTCTTAGCACTGGGGAGGGGGTGCACATCTGAATACATAGGCTGTGAGCAAAGCAATGTGGTAAGTTCTGGGGACTATGGCCAGCACTAGGGGCTTCTCCCTCTCTGCCCATGTCTCCTGTGAAGACAGTAGAGCTATGAGGCGGCTGGAGCAGGCTCTTGAACCCCAGGAAGAACTGCCTGCTAATCAGAAGCCCCGTTACAGGGCTTGTTCGGAGCCCACCCTGTATGTGGTAAGCCGCTGTGGTTCTGTTTTGTTTCTGATCAATCGCCTGAACGAGGACACCCCACCATTCTTACTTTCCTGTTACAGGGTACCTGGGAATCTTACCCTCAGCAGATGGGCTGCTCTGGTTCCCCAGCCTGTCCACTCTGAGAAGACGATTGGAACACACCTCAAGATGCTAGGGCTGGCTACCTAGAGAGAGCCTGACTGCCTGTCAACCCGGATTTCGAGGTCCTGAGGGGCTGGGGACATGCGGCCCAGCCTGTTTGAGGGCTGAGGGAAGGAACATCCAGGGACACCCCCAAAGCAGGGCCGTCCTCCCCAGGAGCATCAATTGCACTTCATTCCTGCCATGTGTACATGGACAATTCTTATTGCACATCTGCTTTACCCAGGAAGACGCATGGCGGTGTGGCAGGGCACCCCCTGGTGGCAGATGTCGAGAATAGCAAAAGCTTTCAAAGTAGGCCCAAGAAGATTTACTCTTTGGTTTGTTTTGGAAAGACCTCTCTCTTACTTTTAGCCTATAAATCTATTGACGGTATTTCCAACTAGCCAATGAAGACTTGGGATGTTCATTTTATGAAACACAATGGGTACTTCTGTTTGAGATGTTTGCTGTTATAAGGATAAAGCTGCAAATTCACAGCTTGTCTTTAGCCCACCCCTGAAATGACGTCACAGCCGATATCAGTGACTCAGATTTTAAGGAAAGAAAGACGCCTCTAAGGAAAGGTGGAGACAACTAGGAGGGGTTGGCTCAGGCCCTAGTAGGAGAATTCAGCTGAAAGGGTTACACTCATCATGGAAGAAGACCACAAGCCAGGGACGTCATGCAGACCCTTCCTCCAGGGAAGAGAAGAAACCCAACAAGCTCGACAGGTGTTCACAGAAGAGGTGGGGCGGGGCTGGAGGAGTGGCTTGGTTGGTAAACTCACTGCCACGCAAACCTGGGGTTCAGTACCCAGCACCTATGTAAAGGCTGGGTGCAGAAATACGTGTCCGGGGAGACAGAGACAGGAGGACATCCCTGGGGCTTGCTGGACAGCAACTGAGCCAAGTCAACAAGCTCCAGGTTCAGCAATAGACCATGTCTCAAAAAACAAGGTGCAGAGTGATTGAGGAAGACACGATATTGACCTTGGTTGTTTATACGCCTGAGTACATAGGTGCACCCTGGCCCTCCCTCTACAGATGGTAGACATAAATTCCCTGAAAGCGTTCTCTGCTCTCCTCTCCACTAAGCAGCAGGAGTGCAAGCTGCAGAGTTCAGGCCCACAAAGTCGGGGTACGCCGAGGACAGTGTCCTCTAGTACTGTACTTAAACAGGTGTCTTATTCAAGTACCACGTCTCTGTTCCCTCTGTCCCCCAGGAGGGGGTGACCTCCCTCGTGTGTTCTGACAGACTCCAACATGCATACTAAAGACAAACAGGATGTGCCTGTTTCCAGGACTGAAGTGATTTCCCCAGACTTAGGAAAATGACTGACTTCCATGGGAAAAAAACCTGCAAGGAAGGGGAGAAGTCACGAACCCTCGCATGTGCTGACAAGGCACCAGGTTGAACAAACAGGATTCTAAGTCGGGTGTGCAGGCAAGGAGCTGTTTGCTTTGTTTGACAAGCCTTTATGTCTCCTGCATGTGGTGGGGCTGTTTTACTGGATACAGAATTTGAGACTGCCAGCTTTTTGTTCAGTCTTTAAAGACACCACTCTGTTATCTTTTGCCATACCTGTTTTGTGAAAGCCATGATACTAGAGATGATGATAAAGGGGCTAATTCTCTGAAAAGACACAGCACCACTACATGTACGCATGCTTCTCACATTACTTCACAGCATTAAAGCAAGTGCAGCCCGCTCTCCTTTATCGGTATCCCAAGACCCCCCAGTGGGTGCCTGAAACCACAGGAGGTACCAACGTACACAACGGAGGTGTTGCAAGTATTGGACATTGAGTGTAAGATAACTGATGTTATAGACTGAGAGGAAAGATGGACACCACACAGGATTTGGTGTCTGATTTTAGAGGAGAGAAGAAATTGTTTCAAAGGGAAAATCTAGAAATAAAACAATGGTAACAACAGACAAAACCAAACCAAACCCACACCACACTACAACAGAGATGAGGGACAGCTTCAAGTACAGAATCTGAAGCTCAGGACCATCAGTCGGAATCAGCCACGCTGTAGTACCAAGTGGAAAAGGCTGGGTAGGAGGCACAACACCCAAGAGCTGCAGGTCAGCAACAGCCAGCGGAAGGTCTGCGACAGTGTCTCTCCAGAGGAGAGGGAGGGAGAGGAAATAGTCAACACACACACACACACACACACACACACACACGCACACGCACACGCACACGCACACGCACACGCACGCCAAACAGACAGACAGAACCACCACAGGTCAGGGAAGCCATGAGAGCATCACTAGGGAGATGCTAATAAGCAAACACCCCTCCCCACAGCATACAGAGCTACCGAAAGCCAAGGCAAAGAAGGAAGACAAGTTAGATACAGAGAAAGGAAGGTAAGAGGTGGAGCACACGGTTCAGGGTAACAGATAAGGCAGAAGATAACAGGTGGCAGCTTTAAAGGGGTGAAAGAAGAAACCTGCCAGTTCTGCCTCGAGCAGAGAGCTCTGACACATAAAGTAGTTCAAAGGCTTTCTCCAGCCCAAATGAGCCGGTTCACTGCCTGCTGGTCTGCACTGGAGAGGGTCAAAATCTCGGAAGGAGGAGGACGGTGACACCAGCAGTGACCTGACTTTACCTAGAGTGATGGAAATGAAATAAGTGAAGGGGAAGATAAAATTCCCTCTTCTCCCCTTTTTAGAATTTCTGAGATAACCAGATCTCAGCAGCCAAGAGAGCAGTGCCCGTACCTTGTCCACAGCGAGGGGAACTAAGGCGGGCATCGAGTGTGAGGCTCTCCTTAACGATTCTATCTGTAAACCCCAGGTCAACGGCTAAACCAAGCACTAGTAGGTAAATTACCTGGACAAATAGAGTCTCTAAGTACCACAGTTAATCCAAGATAAGATGACAAATGAAAACCAAAAGGACAGAAGGAACAAGGAGAAAAGATTTAGCA